ACTGATAAATGAATGGAATTAATATCAGAGCAGGTTTCTCTTTGTATAGCAGATCCTGAAAACAAAATGTTAAGTTTTACAGATCAACTTTTTAAAGACCTTGTGATGCTGAAGCGCCCTGATATAAAAATTAGTTTAACCCCCTTGCTTTCCAGGCTAAAGCGGATCGATGGTTCACCCTGCTTCAGAACAACAACACTGTTTAAACAATCACAGCTACGGTGGTATGGTTTTCATCAAAATCCTTAACGCAAATGAGAATGTGAGTAAAACTTTGGACTAAAACTCAGGTAAAGATTTCAGAAAAACCTCAGGCTCCTGGTAAATACTGCAAAAAATGTAAAGTGAATTTTTTTGTCGTGAATTGAGGAGGAACATGAGACTCTTTGCCAGTGGAACAAGACAATTTACATTTAAAATAAGAAAAAACTATTTTAGTGTCTTATTTAAAGTGCGTGTTATGTAATTATTTTATTTTAAGAGTGAAAAATCTCCTTCCATTGGCAAATCATCTTATTTACCTGCTCAAATTAAGGGTAAACTAACTGAAATGAAGAAATTTTTACTTTTTTCTAGATCATTTTTGCAGTGAATATAGAAGGAAGAGAGACGCTCCTGAAGACCCAGGAGGCTGAATAGATCCACCATTTCTAGATTTTATTTCCCACTCATTCAAAACTTCTGATCTTTATCTTTCCTTATCAAAGTTCAATTCACTACATTGAGCCTTGATGTTCTAATGCATCAGAATGTGAAAAGGTCATACATGCATTAACATGGCTATGTATTCAACTTGTTTTTATCATTTCAAGCTGGTCTTATGTATATATATAAATATATACATATATAAATTGATATATACAGATATATAAATATACATATATAAATAAATATATATATATAAACATACAAATAAAAAATATACAAACGTATATAAAAAAAATAAACATATATATATATATATATATATATATGAAAATTACATTTGATTCTCAATTACAGCCAATCAAACC